CAGGGCTGTTCTCAAACCTGTGGGCTCAGGCAGTCCTCTCACCTTGGCCTCCCAAAGCGCGGGGATCACAGACGCCCGGCCTTTCTGCTGATTTTTGCCGTGAGGCGCTTGGTCTGTTTTCTCATCTGGGAAATGGGAATCATGCCCAAAGTGGGGTGAGTGGGTGACCGTCATCCGTGACCCTGACGCCCTGCTCCTCTCCTTCCAGCCACCCGGACCCATGGAGCCACCTGGCCCGGCCAAGCGACTGTGTCCCTGGCGTCCGTGTCTGGTCGTGTTGCTCCTGCAGCTCCTTCTGTCGGTGTGTTTTTTCTCCTACGTGCGCGTGTCTCGAGGCGATCTCACTGGTTTCCTGCCACTGGGGCCCAGTGCCGTGGAATCTGCCCAGGCAGCTCCCAGCCGGTCCCCGGAACTCCCTCCCCAGACCACCCCGGCGACCCTCACCCGCCGCCCCCTGCAGATCCTGCTGTGGACATGGCCCTTCCACATCCCCCTGACTCTGTCCCCCTGCTCCGAGTTGGTGCCCGGCCTGGCCGACTGCGACATCACGGCCAACCGCAAGGTGTACCGACAGGCGGACGCGGTCATTGTCCATCACTGGGACGTCATGTTCAACCCCAGGTCCCAGCTCCCGCCCTCCCCCAGGCCACCCGGGCAGCGCTGGGTCTGGTACAACATGGAGCCGCCCTTGAACTCCCGGCAACTGCGAGCCATGGACGGGCTCTTCAATCTCACCATGTCCTACCGCAGCGACTCGGACGTCTTCATGCCCTACGGCTGGCTCGAACCCTGGTCGGGCCGCCCCGCCCACGCCCCGCTCAACCTCTCGGCCAAGACGGAGCTGGTGGCTTGGGCGGTGTCAAATTGGAGGCCGAGCTCCGCCCGGGTGCGCTACTACGAGAAGCTGAAGGCCCATCTCAAGGTGGATGTGTTTGGGGCATCCCACTTGCCGCTGCCCAGGGGCGTCATGATGGAGCGGCTGTCCCGGTACAAGTTCTACCTGGCCTTCGAGAACTCCCTGCACCCCGACTATATCACCGAGAAGCTGTGGCGGAACGCCATGGAGGCCTGGGCCGTGCCCGTGGTGCTGGGCCCCAGCAGGGGCAACTACGAGCGCTTCGTGCCGCCCGACGCCTTCATCCACGTGGACGACTTCCAGAGCCCCCAGGACCTGGCCAGGTACCTGCAGGAGCTGGACAGGGACCCCGAGCGCTACCTGAACTACTTCCGCTGGCGGGAGAGGCTGCGGCCTCGGTTCTTCAGCTGGAACCTGGCTTTCTGCAAGGCCTGCTGGAAACTGCAGCAGGAGTCCAGGTACCAGACGGTGCGCAGCGTAGAAGCCTGGTTCACCTGAGGGGCAGCCTGGGGCTGGGCTGCAGGGATCTTGCATGTCCAGGATCCCACCTGCCTGGGGATGCATCTACCTGGGACCTCACCCACTGAGACCTCACCTCTCCAGTCACCTACCTGGGGACCTGCCCGGGGCCTCACCTGCCCGAGTTTCCACCTTCCTGAGACCTCACCTGCCTTGGGTCCCAACAACCTGGTACCTCGCCTGCCTGTGGTCTCACCTACCTGGGACCCACCTACCTGTGTCCCACCTGAGGACTGACCTACCTAGGCCCTCACCTGCCTGAGGCCTCACCTACCTGTGGGCTCACCTACCTGGGACCCACCTACCTGAGATCTCACCTAACTGGGGACCCACCTACCCGGGGACCCATCTACCTTGGTACCCATCTATCTGGGGCCTGACCTACCGGAGACCTCACCTGCCTTAGGACACATTTACCTGAGGAACCCCCCCTAACTGGGCCTCACATGCCTGGGGTCCCACTTATTTAGGGCCTCACCTACCTGGGATTTTACCTATCTAGGAACCCACTTACCTGGGGCCTCATCTACCTGGGACCTCAATTACCTGGGGATGCATCTGAGGACTTACCTGCCTGAGGACCCACCTACCTGGGGACCCACCAACCTGAGGACCCACTAACCTGAGGACCCGCCTACCTGGGGACACATCTACCTGGGGACCCACTTACCTGGGAACCAACCTATCTGGAGCCTCATCTAGCTGGGACCTCTTCTACTTGGAGACTCACCTGTCTGAAGTTTCACCTACCTTGGGACTCACTTACCGGGAACCCACTTCATCTGAGGCCTCACCTACCTGGTGACCTGTCTACCTGGGACCCCACCTACCTGGGGCTTTATCTATCTGAGAATCCACCTGCAGGGGACCCACCTGTCTGGTCCTCACCTACTTAGGGACCCGTTGCCTGGGGTTTCATCTACCTGAGGCTTCACATATCAGGGGATCCACCTACCTGGGACTTTATCTGCCTGAGACCTCACATGCCTGGGACCTCATCTGCCTGGGGCCTCACCTACATGAAGACACACCTACCTGGAGACCCACTTGACTGAGGCCTCACCTATCTGGGGATCCAGCTATCTGGGGCTTCACCTATCTGGAGATGCACCTACCTGAGGACTCACCTGCCTGAAGCCTCACCTACCTGGGGAACCGCCTATCTGGGGATTCACCTACCTGGGCTTCACCTATCTGGGAACACATCTACCTGCTGGGGACCTGATACCAGAGACCCTGCCCTACCAGATGTCACCTGTGAGGGCCCTCGGCTGCTGGATCCTTCACCCACCAAGGCACTGGGCCTTGGGGTGACTGGCTCCCTTGGGTTTCTGCTCAGGGGCCATGGCTTGGGGTGATTTGCTTGTGGTGTTGTGTGCAGGTCGACAATGTTACTCGTTTTCCAGACAAGAATGTTTCGGGGGAAACTGGTGTGTGTCCCTTACTCCGGAACAGGGCTTCTCACCCAGGCCCTTTGAATCCCCAGGGGACTTGTCAATGTCCGGAGACATGTTTGGCCGTCCCAGTGGGGTAAGGAGGACTGATGTCATTTGCTGGGCACAGGCCGGGGACACTCAAAACACCTTACCATCCACAGGACAGGCCCCCCACATCGAGAATGACCCAGCTCCCAGGTCCAGAGATGGAAATGCCTGTTCTAGGATTTTCCATGGCCCTGGAGGTGGGTATTGGGGAGGAGGGACTTCTCTTTCAGCTGGCCCCTGGGGTCTCCAGCAGAGGGGGAGACCTGACCCAGTGGGGGCACGGGGTGGGCCCAAGCTGTCCTCTGGTCA